CAGGACTCGGCAGAGTCAAAGGGGACATACTGTGATTGTATGGATTATTGGAAAAAGATCACCTAAAGAAAACAATAAAAATTCCTTTTTTTAAAAAAAGAAAAAGTTTGCTGACCGCTGCCCTATGCTTTATGGTGATGGTTAATAAACAGCAGTTTCTACTGTTCAATTTCTGAAGGGGAGTGAGGCCGGGAGTCACCTCCCAGCCAAAGGAATGAACATGGCAGAGAGTTAATGCTTTATTGTCAAAGATAATACTTACAATTGCTTCTCCACACCAATCTAACAGCTAGGCAGCTGTTCCCAGGTCTGCACTCTATGGAGCGGTTGAAGCAACAGGGAACCACTCCCCTTCCACCAGTTTATGTACCTTCTTCTGCCGGGCTGCGTGCATGCAGCCAATGACTAGGTAAAAGGTAAAGGTAAAGAACCCCTGGACGGTTAAGTCCAGTCAAAGGCGACTATGGCGTGCAGCACTCATCTCACTTTCAGTCCGAGGGAGCCGGCGTTTGTCCACAGACAGCTTTCCGGGTCATGTGGCCAGCAGGACTAAACCGCTTCTGGAGCAACGGGACACCGTGACGGAAACCAGAGCACATGGAAATGTCGTTTACCCTCCCACCAGAGCGGTACCTATTTATCTACTTGCACTGGCGTGCTTTTGAACTGCTAGGTTGGCAGGAGCTGGGACAGAGCAACGGGAGCTCACCCCATCGTGGGGATTCGAACAGCCGACCTTCCGATCGGCAAGTCCAACGGGCTCAGTGGTTTAGACCACAGCACCACCCGTGACCTGCCTGCGTGGCAACGTCCTCTGCTCCTCCCTTTTCACTCCACTCCTGGTACTGTGAGATAGTGATGCAGGAGAGAGTGGAAACCCCTGGCCCTTCCCCTGCCTGACCTGCCTCTTCCTCCTCTTCTTCCAACCCATCCTGTGCTCCACCCTCCAGCTCTGAAGCTTACCCTGCCTCCGATTCTTGCCTCCTGGCTGGCATAGGTCCCCACAAACCACTGCCCCCTATCCCGAGTCATGTTCCAGCGTGCTGCCAGTCCATCCTTGTTGTTTGCCCTGGCAACTGCCTTTGACGATAGCGCCTGGAAATAACGCTGACATCAAAGGATTCCATACTGGAGATACTAAAATGAAGTAAACTACATGCTTACTTTACATAATGTGGTGCTTTATGTCACTTACCCAAGCATGACCCTTTGAGAGCTAATGCGTGCACTGAAATGTTTTGGATCCACCTTGAGGCAACAAATCCAAAATCATGCACATTATTATATACAACCCCTTTAGCTGTGAAGAAAAATATTTCAGGACATATTTTCCTCTATCTGGCCAACCAACCAACTCCTTAAGTTGTACACAATAATTTTCACAGGCACTAGTTAATTGGTTACATGGGAAATTTCCTTGAACCTTCCTACGGATAATCAAGCCTTTGGTATCATCATTCTTTTTTGTGAGCTTAATATGTATTGTTAGATTTTTCAGATTTCTAGCACATTCATAAACAAATGTAAGTTTTGCTTTACATGATATTTATGATTGTGATTATGCTAGTTATATGCTAGTGACCATATAACTGTTTTATTTGATGTTCTCTTCCTTTCAGTAAAAGGAGCATTCTCTTTCAAAGAGAATGTTTCCTTTTGAAGCTTCCCGTCCTTCTCGCGCAAAGTCATGAAGCTTTTTTTCGCCCTTCCTCTTTGCCTTCCTCCTCACCCCGGACACTTCAAGTGCTTGGGTCGTGTAAAATGTAGTAATTTCTAATGTGGTTATTGCAGTAAAGTGATTTTTTTAGCAGGGAGGAGGGGTGCCAATACAGCTCCTGGCCAAGGGCACAAGAGGCCCTGGGTACGCCTCTGTCTTCATACAGGATAATAAACCCAGTATCTTCCTGAGAAAACCATTCTAAGCTCGTTCCCCTGAACTCTGAAATCCAAATGGGAATGGCATGAGTAAGTTGGGCCAAGGAAGTTTTAAAAAAGTAAGGGTTTCCTGCGTCTTCAGTGCTCAAATTGCATGAGGGTCCAAAGGGGCTTACCATCACCCAGTGCCCAGTACCCAGTATCTGTAACTGGTTGCTTAGGCCTTGGTGTTACTGCTACCTGAGCTTGGTATGAACCCAACTTGCCTTGTTTAATCTTACCTAGAGCGGTGGTGTTGGGACGCGGGTGGCGCTGTGGGTTAAACCACCGAGCCTAGGACTTGCCGATCAGAAGGTCGGCGGTTCGAATCCCCGCGACGGGGTGAGCTTCCGTTGCTCGGTCCCTGTTCCTGCCAACCTAGCAGTTCGAAAGCACGTCAAAGTGCAAGTAGATAAATAGGTACCGCTCCGGCGGGAAGGTAAACGGCGTTTCCGTGAGCTGCTCTGGTTCGCCAAAAGCGGCTTAGTCATGCTGGCCACATGACCCAGAAGCTGTACGCCGGCTCCCTCGGCCAATAAAGCGAGATGAGCACCACAACCCCAAAGTCGTCCGCAACTGGACCTAATGGTCAGGGGTCCCTTTACCTTTAGGGCGGTGGTGTTAGGCAACGGTGAGCCGTCCACAATTTTAAATTCCCCACGATACACAACTCTATGCTGGGACAACGCAGGTGGTTCACAGCCACCTGTTGAACAACTCTGTTCAGTTGCTACTGCCCACCACAGAGCAACCATGCCAAGGGAGCAAGGGGTAGCAGTCACCACTTTGCCAGGGGCTCCTCAATCACAGAACAGGCCTTGATGCCCACCGACTACAGGGGGCACAGTTTGACTAAAATCAGAGGGGAGACTAGGGATTGCAACTTGTGGGTTTCATTCACAGCCCTCATAGTTAGAGTGGCCTAGTGCCCTCCTTTACAGAGGGCAGCCCTCTGGCGCTGTGGGACACAGGTGGCACTGTGGTCTAAACCACTGAGCCTCTTGGGCTTGCCGATCAGAAAGTTGGCAGTTTGAATCCTCGCGAAGGTGTGAGATCCCGTTGCACGGTCCCAGCTCCTGCCAACCTAGCAGTTCGAAAGCACCCCCCCCAAAAAAAGTGCAAGTAGATAAATAGGTACCACTCCGGCAGGAAGCTAAACGGCGTTTCCGTGCGCTGCTCTGATTTCAGTGTTCCATTGCACCAGAAGCGGCTTAGTCATGCTGGCTACATGACCAGGAAAAACTGTCTGTGGAGAAACGCCGGCTCCCTCGGCCTGAAGCGAGATTAGCGCCGCAACCCCAGAGTCATTTGCGACTGGACTTAACTGTCAGGGGTCCTTTACCTTTACCTTGTCCAAAGACAAATACAGTGGTACCTCAGGTTAAGAACTTAATTCGTTCTGGAGGTCCGTTCCTAACCTGAAACTGTTCTTAACCTGAGGTACCATTTTAGCTAATGGGGCCTCCCGCCACCACCGCGCTGCCGCTGTGCGATTTCTGTTCTCATCCTGAAGCAAAGTTCTTAACCCGAGGTACTATTTCTGGGTTAGCGGAGTCTGTAACCTGAAGCGTCTGTAACCTGAAGCGTCTGTAACCCGAGGTACCACTGTAATAATAAATATTAAAAATAAAACCTAACGAGGGAGTAGATAGCCTTGAACTTCGCCATCGACATTGCACACTGAGCAGACACACAGGTCACCTGCTCACTATAGTAAGATGTGATATCGGCAAGGCAGCTACGGCAATGGCTCGCCTCTCCAAAAGGAAAAGGGAAGTCTACCAGGCTTGCGTGTTGAGGACGTTGCCATACGGTAGCGAGTCATGGGCAACTCCCACCCACCAGGAGCAACGCCATATGTGCTGTGTCAGAAAGATTTTGGGTATCACATGGCAGGAGACAATTCCAAAGAATTCTCAGCATGCTTGCACTCCTGTCTCATTGACGGTCTATGCTGGCTTGGTTGTCTCCACAGAATGGAAGGTGGCAGGATCCCCAACGGAGCTGGCTTCAGGCCAGTTGGCAGACCAACTCCGCGTTGCAAAGATGCCTGCAGACAGGACATGAAGACTTGCAACATTAACCACACCCTGTGGAACTCCCTAGCAGATGACCACAGTGCCTGAAGACTGTCAGGTCGTGTGTCCACAGTAGTGACCAGAGGAGGAATGGCCGCTGGGACAAAAGCAGAGAGAAGGAACACCACGGCGCACCTGCAGCAGCACAACCAGATGCCCCACCTGCAATAAAACATATCTCTCCCCTATCGGTCTCTACAGCCACAGCAGGCGCTGTAACTCTCCAGCAGTCTGACGTCGTCTCCAATGGCACACTCTTCCATTGCGTCTCAAGACAGACAGATGCCAACAACCAGGGACGGACTTGGGTCTTTCAAATTTCAGTGGCACCCCGTGCGAGGCCAAAATTTAGCACCCTTGCCAAAATTTGCCACCTTCTGTCCTGCCTGTGCACCACGTCATAGTTGCAACACCCTGTGGCAACTGCATCTGCCAACAACAGAATATATTTTCTGTTATTATTATTTTTCAAAATTAGCGATGGTACCTAATATTTCTGTATGCCACTTTGGGAGGTCGAAATATTGAACAGTTTGGGGATGCATATCATTTTGGGGAAGTGCTGGGAGATTCTCACTTTTTTCCTTTGGCAATGTGTAAGCGGCCCACCCCGTGCATTATTTAAGTGTGGCTTACAGACCCTCGACATGCCCCCAAAGTCTTCGGAAGGACTGAGGAGAAGCTGAGCAGGTGTACAGCACTTTCGGTGGCGCTTGGGCCTGAGCGCAACATGGAGTTTCTGAATGCCAGAGCAGGCGCGCAGGAGAGAGTCCCCGGGGGAACCCCGCGCCCTTCATTCTGCCCCCCGGGGATCCGGCCGGAGCTCCCTCTCTCCGGGCTCGTGGGGAAGCCGGTAGCAGCTCGTGAGCCGCGGCTGAATCACCTCTTGGCCCGCCTCGCCGCCTCTCCGCGCCCGCTCCGCCTCCGCGCCCTGCTCGCTCTTTGCGCCGCGCGCACCTGGGTGGCGTCTCCGGAGGCGCTCCTGTACCTTTTCCCCACCCGGCTGACGTCGAGCTGCGTCCGACCGGCCTGCCTGCCTGCCTCCACCGCATATATATCTCTCGGCAGGGATGGAGCAGGGTTGCCGTACGGCGCTCGCAGCTCGCCAGGCGCCCGTCGAGTCCCTCTGAGCCGGAGCCGCCTTTGCGCGCCTGCCTAGCCGTCCGCCCCCCGACGACGCGCCCGTGCCCTCCATGCGCGCCACGCTCGCCCTCCTCCGGCTGCTGCTCTGGAGCTTAGGTGAGCGGCGGGGCGGGAAGAGGAGCAGGTGGGTGGGCGGGCAATGAGACCCTGGGCTGGGGGGTGTCGGGGTTAACTTCGGGTGACAGACCCAAGACGGTGCGCTTTGGAGAGAGACGCACAGAGAGAGGCGTTTCTGGTACAGCGATGGGAACTTGCTACATTTTCTCTCGCTTCTCACGGCTTGGCTCCAATACCCGACGGCTTCCTGATTCCAGGAGGTTGGGTTGGAACAGCACCATTGTTTTGAAACAGGAGGCACCTGAAAGGCTGCAAGGGGGGGGGGTTCCTCTCCTTTTCCCACGCCCTACACTTTTGATCTGGCCTCGCTAACCCTACTAGATACTTGTTCTTCCCTGTTTTTGTGACATCTTAATTAAAGCTTCCTTTATTTTTAATTTTATTTTTAAACTGCTGTTCCCTCCATGCATCTCTCGTGCATTTCTGTGTCCTTCCTTCTGTGCTTCATAGATCATAGAAAGGTAATGCTGGAAGAAGGTACCACCCAGGGTCATCTAAGTCCAACCTCTCAACACACAAGGTCCCCCATCCATTTTGAAACCAGACCAGACCCTGCTTAGCTTTGCAAATGTGATGGCAGTTTTATTGTTGCACCATTCGGAGGATGACTAGGATGAGCTCACCTGTTGGTTTCCAAATGTTGTTGGACGTCAGCTCCCATCAGGCCCAACCAGGGTGGTTTGGTGGTCAGGGATGGCAGGGGTTGGGGCCTGACAATGTCTGGAAGACCGCAGGTTGCCCACCTCACCCACAAGTGGGACAGTTGGTCCAAAGGTCACCCAGTCTACTGACCTTCTTGGCAGAAGCTGCCTCCAGACTGCCACTGTTTTGTCGGCAGAAACTGGAACACATTCACCGGAAATTTAGGTTTCTGTAATTCAGGTGGATTAAGGTGCTCTGTTGCCCTAGTGCTACAATTCACTTTGTAAAAGCCCTTTTAGGAAAGTGATGGGGAGGTACACTAAAAAGTGTGGAATGAAGGAACAATTAATGGAAAGATGTGTATCTCCCCGCAAGTGAATCTGGGCGAACGCTTATTGTCATATAAGCACCCCATAAACAATTTGGAATGAATGCTCCAAAAAGACTGGGCATAGTCGTAACCCCTGTGTGAACTTTGTGCAAGCAGATCAGGATGAATGCTGAATTGAACTGGTTGTCTGAAGAAGCTCTGAGTGGGGGATTTGAACCCAGCTCTTTCCAGTCCGAGTCAGGGGCTAACCATTGCACCTTGAGCTTAGAATTCATATAACACCTCTTATATCAGCAACTCTGCAAGATAGACCAGTATTCCTGTTTCTGTATTGTAGATGGGGGGTGGTTCGAATAACAAAGGGGTTAAAGAATTATGTGGCTTATGGTCTTTACTTACAACTGAGTAAGTCCCACTATGTTCGGCTGGGCTTCCTATGATGAAAGTGCTTATAGGCTTGCAGCTACAATGCACAGTTACCCCCCTTCTAGAAAGGTGCATTCCCTCCCAACTGTAATTTCTGTCTGACCTGGAAGCAAGGGGCAGCCAACTTTGTATACTCCAGATGTTGTGGACTACAGCTTCCATCAGCCCCAATGACGAAGTCAGGAATGATGGGGTTGCAGTCCAGCAAAATCTGGAGGGTCCCGTGTTGGTTATCACTGAAAAGGATAATGAGTAGGTAATATGGGATTAGGCTGATTGGGAGTTCCTCCTATAGTAATTGCCTGCACAGGCGTTTTGGTCCAAACCCACTGTGTTAGTCTAAGATGTGGCTAATGTCAGCAACTGTCACTGCTCTGCGCAATGGCGGCTTGTTTGTCTTGGTCGCCGGATCCCCGAGAACCTTCATCTCAGGACGCACTGGATAGCTCAGTTGCTTAGAGCATGGTACTGATAGGGCTGAGGTTGCAGGTTTGATTCCCTATATGGGACACCTGCAAATTCCTGCATTGCAGGGGATGGGACTACTCAGGATCCCTTCCAACTCCATGATTCTTGGACATTAACACCCAATGTGCCATCCTTAGAATGATGGGAGAAATCTATGGCTTAGATACATCCGCAATCATGTTTGTGCTCCATCCCCCGAACCAGATATTCTCAGAAGTAAGTCGTTTTGAATTGAGTAAGTCCTTTTAATAGGAGTGGGGTTTCCCTCCAAATTCAGAGTCATTGTAGCCATGGACTTGTGCCTATAGTGGAGAATCTGTTTCTCTTAAGCGGCGCACTGATTTTGTCAAACAGAGCATAGCAACCCAAAACTTGGGAGGCATTTTTAAAATACCGGGGAAGTATAAATGCATTCGCTCATTAGAAAAGCCGAGAGCTGCTTCTTGGGTGACTCACTGCTGCATAAGACTACATAAGTAATAGCTGCCTAATGTAACTTTCAGGTAAACACCTCTCTGCTGGTTTTGGCTGACTAGTAAGAATGGCATCCTGATTTGTCTCATTTCTCTCTTGCAGTGTGCCAGCATGCCGCTGGATCAGGGCTAAATGTGACGGAACAAGAGCAAAACATGCCCGTCCTGAGGACGCTTAATACACCTGCAACTGGGGTGTTTTCCTCGGGAGTTGACTACGAAGAGACTGAAGAGGAAGAGGTGGCGATGGCACCTCAATTCCTTGTAGGTGATTCAGCTACAGGTATGTCAAAGTTGAGCTTTTGCCTGTGGAGAGCTCTTTTGTCCTTGGCTGTGGGCCACGTGGAGATGAGCCTGCTGCTGGGATGTGGTGGGTTTTGTGCAAAAAGGTTGCTGGCGTGTGTCTTCTGCAAGGAAATATAGGAGAGAGTTCTTAGTTGGCCAGCTTTGATTACAACAGCATGCAAGCTTTAAAGGGTAAAGGGGACCCCTGACCATTAGGTCCAGTCATGACCGACTCTGGAATTGCGCGCTCATCTCGCTCTATAGGCTGAGGGAGCCGGCGTTTGTCTGCAGACAGCTTCCGGATTATGTGGCCAGCATGACTAAGCTGCTTCTGGCGAACCAGAGCAGCACACGGAAACGCCGTTTACCTTCCCACCGTAGCGGTACCACCCACAGCGCCACCCGCGTCCCTGCATGCAAGCTTTAGGGTCCCACAAATGCTCTGCATCTTTGTTGGTTCTTCTTCCTATGATCCAAGCACTTGCAGCTGGGCTCAACTATATATTAGCAAGATGTTAGGAGAGGTCCTAGGGACGCAGGTGGCGCTGGGGTCTAAACCACTGAGCCTCTTGGGCTTGCCAATCAGAAGGTCAGCGGTTCGAATCCCCGCGACGGGGTGGGCTCCTGTTGCTCGGTCCCTGCTCCTGCCAACCTAGCAGTTCAAAAGCACATCAAAGTGCAAGTAGATAAATAGGTACCACTCTGGTGGGAAGGTAAACGGTGTTTCCGTGCGCTGTGGTTTCCATCACGGTGTCCCGTTGAGCCAAAATAGATTTAGTCCTGATGCCTGATGGCCACATGACCTGGAAAACTGTCTGTGGACAAACGCCGGCTCCTTCGGCCTGAAAGCAAGATGAGCGCTGCAACCCCATAGTTGCCTTTGACTGGACCTAACCATCCAGGGGTCTTTTACCTTAATTGCAAGGGGTTCCTACATTTTGTCAGGTATCCCATTGTGTAAAAGAAAAGAGAGAAATATTTTTATTATTAACCAAAAGTTCCAGGACAGGAAGAAATGAATGGATTTCTATTTCTCCCTCCTTCAAATTCACATTTTTCATTGTCTCCACGGAATAATATAATACTCAAATTCCAGTGCTTTTTTTTAAAAAAAGTGTTTAGGGGTACTTCATTTTGACTCAAGAAAATCACCATTTTATAGTTCAAATCGGGGAAAATAAAGACAGTAAATGGACAAAAGTACAAAGATTCACAAAACGTTTAGGGGTATCCGTACCCCTGCATCCCCCCAGAAAAAAGCACTGTCAAACTCAATAATTCTGCTTTTCACTCACCAGTTGGCATTAATTTTCACTGCTGTGAGTTAATTACCCTATAACGTAGCAAGAATGGGCCTTAGACATATCTTCCCATAAGTCACACCAAGTGAATATGAGGCTAAGTAGAAACTTGCCCTGCACTACCACAGCCCAGTAGGATTTCGTTCCTTTAACATTACTAAACCTTTTAAATTTGGGGTTTTCAAAATCTGAACAATGTGATCATATCTTGGGTTGCAGTTCTCCTGCAACCGCTGTGGGCGAGAGTTATTTGGAATATTATTTAATTAGTGAAACCTTGGTATCAATCTGATAAGCTTTCCCAGTGCATAGTTGCAATTAAGTTTTGGGATGGCAGCAGAATGTGTTGTTTGTAAATAGAGCTTTAAATTTCTGGAAAACCCAAAGTATAAGCTATTTATTCTGCTATATGGTAGGTGATCTGGGCTGCTTCTGGTTCATACTCCTTTTGCATCTGCTTGGCCATAAGTCCATTAAAATAATAATCTCTGAAACTTGTATTTAAATATACATTTCAAAACACATTTCCTAGCCAAGTACATACTCTTCAAATGTATTTTTATTCTTTTTTGAGCCAAGATCTGGGCTGTAACACTCAAGAACTTCAGCAGATAGTAGATAACAAAATTCCCATCTGTACATTATTCTGGGAAGTGCAGATGTTTGAACTGGAATTCACCAAGAGTGAATTTTTCTGCAGTACACTGCCCCCAATGTGTTCACATTCTGCTGCTGAGACAATGCATTTAAACCAGGCATCCCCAAACTCAGCCCTCCAGAGGTTTTAGAACTACAATTCCCATCATCCCTGACCACTGGTCCTGTTAGTTAGGGATGATGGGAGTTGTAGTCCCAAAACAGCTGGAGGGCCGAGTTTGGGGGTGCCTGATTTAAACCCTTCAGCCTTTGGTTCAGAAGCAGTCTCATTTTTTGGTTCACAATTGAGTCTTTAACCCTGAGAGCTGACAGCGTTGTTGCATTTGAGTTTTAAGGAAACGTTGGTTTAGGAGAAATATTTTGCCTCATGACATTTCTAAGACTCTCGAGGTAACTCTGTTGGCACTTTTTCGAAATGGACTGTTGTTGGTTCCAGAAAATAAAGGAGCATAGCTACGCTGCAAACCTATGTGGTTGCACAAGTCTTGGCTGCCTCCAAAGAATCCTGGGAATTGCTGGCTCCATTGTGGAGTCAAGGGGCAGGATAAAACCATTTAAGCAAGAGACACTTGGAGGACTGTTGAGAATTTTCCAAGCCATTGTAGGAACATCTGAAGCTGCCTAGTACTGAATCAGTCCATTGGCCCATCTAGCTTAGTTTGTTGACCAACCTGAAAGCCTTTGGCCCCTTCGTGGCAGAATAAAGGTACCATAGGAGCCAGTCCTCAGGGCTGAGGTCTCTTCGGCCATCCCTCAAAAATATTTGAGGTGGCCAAGCCCGAATGGTGTGCACGCACAGCATCACATGATCGATTATGTGGGGTGGGGCTTACCTCCCCCCACAAAAAATATCTTATTGAAGTTGGCACCCCTGAAAGGTACAGTCAACAAACTAAGTTCTTACTCTGGAATGTGTCCATGAATAGCAGCTTGAGGAGGATACAGACTACAAATTTCCATAGTCTCCAAAGGAAACCATAAAGTGGGCCATCAACGCTCTCAGCAATTCTCAAGTATCCGTATTTTTTGCTCTATAAGACATACCAGACCACAAGACGCACCTAGTTTTTGGAGGAGGAAAACAAGAAAAAAAATATTCTGAATCTCAGAAGCCAGAACAGCAAGAGGGATCGCTGCGCAGTGAAAGCAGCAATCCCTCTTGCTGTTCCGGCTTCTGGGATAGCTGCGCAGCCTGCATTCGCTCCATAAGACGCACACACATTTCCCCTTACTTTTTAGGAGGGGGAAAGTGAGTCCTATAGAGCAAAAAATACGGTAATCCAGGTTGGGGGTGAAGAACCACCAAGGTAGAACATACAAGGTTTGGTGATCATGGAGCCTAGCTGGCAGAAGTCTTTTGACAGCCACCTGCCATGGCTCAAAGTGTCATTCGTAATGCTAATTGCAATGTAGCCGTCATGTGCTGAGCAATGTGCGCCGAAAGGATGCTACGGTGTCAGTTTGTGTGCCTGACAGGGAGTTGTACTCAGTCCTGTTTCTCTGATGAGTGTCTCTGTATGATGTCTTCTAAACAAGTTTGTCATTCGTATTGTAGGTTTTTAGAGGTACACCTAGGTGGTGTGGTTTTTTTTACCTTAGGCTGAGAGAAAATGACTGACCCAACGTACTTCAGAGTTGCTGTTGGGGGGGGAGGGGAGAGCTATGCGCGTTGCTTAAGTTTCTTGGAGGAACAGCATGATTAAAATGCAATAAACACACCTACAACATGAAGTCTAGCAAGTCTTGCCGATCATGACCTAAAAAAACAAAAAAGACCGTCTAGTTATGTTTTGTGTTCTTAGTACAGTGGTACCTCGGGTTACAGACGCTTCAGGTTACATATGCTTCAGGTTACAGACTCTGCTAACCCAGAAATAGTACCTCGGGTTAAGAACTTTGCTTCGGGATGAGAACAGAAATTGTGCGACGGCAGCGGGAGGCCCCATTAGCTAAAGTGGTACCTCAGGTTAAGAACACTTTCAAGTTAAGAACGGACCTCCAGAATGAATTAAGTTCTTAACCTGAGGTACTACTGTACCAGCAAAATGGAAAATTCAGGAGGTGATCCTGAAACTCAGTTGTGTGTTAACTGATGCTTTTGCACAGGCATGTATTGGAGGGTTGGGTGGGAATGATTTAAGAATGCCTTTCCGTCCATTAATGGCACATGTTCATTAGCACACCGCAGCAGAATCCCACAAGCATACATCTTTAAACTGGGAGATGGCTGTGAAATCCTCTTTAACAATTCCTCCTTGGCTGTCTGCTCAGTCCTTTGAACCCCTCTGAAATGCAAATATCTTTGGGGTTAACCATATTACCACACTTCATTAGACTTGCTAAGCATAATTAGTCGACACTACTTAATTTGCCCTTCATGCTGAGCAGTAATGTTTATGATAAAATTAGTCAACAACAGTTATTACTAGCTGGGACTTTATTGCATTTGGGAATCAAACTCGAAGCTATATTAAAAGGGCTTTTGCACATTGACTTTCTAAAATGTGTGTCACATCAACATAAAAAGCAGAGGCAAAAATTGTTTCACATCTGTGTCAGCTTCTTTCCTGGTCATATGTTACTTCTGGAGTGTGAGGTATGTACTAGGTCTAAAAATAGAAAGGGAAGCACTTCCTGAACACCAGGAGTTAAATATCTGGATCAGGCACCTTGGCCTTAGTGTATAAAAATAAATAAATCCTGGTTTCCTAGACTCTGTTCCTTGAGTTTCTGCTGGCACAAAGTTGTCTCCTCTAAAGACATAAGCATCTTTTGTTCATCTTCTTTTGTTGTTGTTGTTGCTGCTGCTGCTGTTTTTAAAAAATGCACCTAAAACCTCTTCCACACAAGAATATTTTCAGGGCCATCTTCAATTTAAAGCAGGATGCCCAATTGCTATCTTGTTAGAATAATGTGTATTCTAGGCAGGTCTCTAGCATGAAGGCCCTTTGTTGATCTTTGGACTTGCAGCCAAAGTGGTGTACTAGTTTGAATGGGAAACTGAGGTTGAAATCCTACTGTCCTTGGCTACATCTCCCTCCCTCTTCCCCCATTTCCCTCTCAGTATGATCTAATCTGCAGTTAAAATACCACCCTGAGCTCATTGAAGCAAGGGCAGATAACTCCTCAATGCAAATAAACACTTTTTTTCCCCTTTCCCCTTTCCAGTTCCATTTGAACTTAAAAAGCCAGCAAAATCAGAGAGCGGGAAAAAGAAGCCAAAAAGAAAGGGAAACAACAAGGGGAAGAAAAACAAGAAGAAAACTCCGTGTGAAGCAGAGTTTAAAAACTTCTGTGTACATGGGGACTGCAAATATTATGAACACCTTCGAAAAGCCACATGCAAGTAAGTTGACCTACTGCCTTGGAGGGCTGTCCTTCTGAATCCTGGACTTTTGCACAGAATTGATTGATTGATTGATTGATTGATTGATTGATATACTGTCCACCATCATAAGATCTCAGGGCGGTTTGCAGAATAAAATACAGGATCAAAACCAAAACAAAAGGTGTTTAAAGCCACAGCCCTGAGCCCAGAGCTATTATATGGGCAGCAAAACATAGAAAACACAAATCTGTTGATAAATAGTTTACCACTTTTTTTGTTTGTTTTTTTAAGTGGGTGGGAGAATTATTGAGAAATTTTGAGAACAAAGCTCTTATCAACCCACAGTCAACCTGCCAGGCTGGATTAACCATGAAGCAAAATAAGCCCATCAAGGGAAGGGGGCGCATCACAGAAATTTCCCATTGTTGGTTTTTTTTAACATTAATTGTCACAAATTTCTCAGCTGAGCATTTGTTTTCTCAGCTGAAGTATATTAAAAATCCCAACAGAAAACCATGCCACAAGGCAGGCTGGATGCCTTATCTCTGCTAAGCATAGAAGCAGATGTGTTGCGTTAAGGTGAGTTTTGAGGATCTGATCAGAGGCTTTGCAATTAGAAGAAAGCAGGAGAAAATAGTGATGTGGGTGGCGCTGTGGGTTAAACCACAGAGCCTAGGGCTTGCTGATCAGAAGGTCGGCGGTTCGAATCCCCATGATGGGGTGAGCTCCCGTTGCTCAGTCCCTGCTCCTGCCCACCTAGCAGTTCAAAAGCACCTCAAAGTGCAAGTAGATAAATAGGTACCACTCCGGCGGGAAGGTAAATGACGTTTCCGTGCGCTGCTCTGGTTCGCCAGAAGCGGCTTAGTCCTGCTGGCCACATGACCCGGAAGCTGAACGCCAGCTCCCTCAGCCAATAAAGTGAGATGAGCGCTGCAACCCTGGAGTCGGCCACGACTGGACCTAATGGTCAGGGGTCCCTTTACCTTTATACAAAAATAAACATTATCTCCCATCTTACTGCAGGTTTTGTTTCATTTCGAAAAATGAAATGGTATTTCACAATTTATCATTGTTTATATTTTGAATTGGATATATATGTGGACACCGAAATCTTTTAAGTGCTTGGGGCTTCTAAAGGTCTTAATCCGACCTTACGTTCCTGGACAAAGGTGCATATGGGTGCTGCTGCCTGGTCTCTGCATTGATTGGAACGAGCCCAATGCCATTGTTAGAATAACTGTGGTTTTTATACATATATTCTAAATGAAAAATAGGAACGGATGGGTTCCTTTCTGAGCAACCTTTTGTGGGCCAAAGGTTGGGGGGGGGGAGAGAGAGGCAGGACCAATGGCCAAAATGGATGGGGCAAAAATTGTACAGAAGTCTAGTTTCTGCATACGGTAACAGCCGCCTCTTGTATCTTCCATTCAGGCAGGCGAAAGGTATTGCTGGAATTTGAGAGCACATAACTAGCCGAAGCAAATATGTCTGGGGTGCAAAGTCAGGCCGGTGAGGGGTGTGTCCTTGGGAAAATTCCAGAACATCTAGAACAATAATGAGTTATGTAAGCTGCCCAATGGCAGGAGAGGGTTCCCGGGGACAAAGGTACCCAAACTTTGGTGGGTTTTGCTCGCTGTCTTGTTAGCACTTCTGATTACCATATTTTTCGCTCTATAGGACGCACCGGACCATAGGAGGGGGAGAACGGGGGGGGATTCTCCCCCTCTCTGCTCAGCGCCCCTTCAGCGAAGCGGCAGGAGAAACGGAGCCCCTTCCATTTCTCCTCCCGCTTCACTGAAGGGGCGCTGCGCAGAGAGGGAAAACTGTGCAGCGCCTCTCCAGCGAAGCGAAGCCTGGAGAGCAAGAGGGATCGGTGTGCACCGACCCCTCTCGCTTTCCAGGCTTCAGGCGGTTATCCGCAAGCCTTTGGAGTGCAGCGGGAACTCCTGCTGCGCTCCGGGGGCTTCAGGCGGCTTCAGCGAAAGCAACGCGAAGCCTCCGGAGCGCGGGCGGAACTCTCCCTCTGCGCTTCAGAGGCTTCGCGTTGCTATCGCTGAAGCCAAGGAACCTGCATTCACTCCATAAGACGCACACACATTTCCCCTTAATTTTTGAAGGGGAAAAAGTGTGTCTTATAGAGCGAAAAATACGGTAATTCGCTGTGTCGCCAGCAAGTCCTCTTTGCCATGTATATTTTAAACGATTGTGGCATTTGTAAGCTGCACAATGGGCCGCCGAACTCGTAATTTGCTCATGTGTTAAAAGAAAGAATGAAGTACGCTTTTCCTGGAACGTCCCAGCCAAACTAATTGCAGCTTAGCCTACAGCTGGCAAGCTCCTCACTAGCGCTGTTGGATCTGACAACATTACATAGTGAGATCCTGCTCCTCAGGCCCCAGCATCTTACAATGTGGTGCTGATGAGCTGCAGGAGGTCTTATCCGAATGGCTTGCCTTGGTGTAAACTCTGAAGCGAGCGCTCAAAAAACTGTGTGGCTAAATTTTGTGTGTGGTCAATTTTCAGGTGCCACTCGGATTACTTTGGCGAACGTTGCGTCGAGCAGTTTTTGAAGACACACAGTACCGATGGCAATGAAAGTTTCACATCCACAATACTTGCGTCGACGGCTGGTTTGCTCACCTTTGCTGCCATTGTGATCGTTGTAACATTGCTGTAAGTAGTACAATTTCAGTCCTCCGGTTTGTTGAAGAAACCTAGTAAATTGGTGGCAGAAGCACACACAATATTTCACCTACGTACACGTTCTCCTGTAGTCCTTTTCGGAGTGCATTATAGGAATAGGGTGTTGGTTTGCACTACAAGTTTGTCCTAAAGTATCCCATAGGAATATAATCTGAATCAATGATCTAAGCAAACAATCTGGTGAACGCTCTTGTAAGTTCAACATTTCAGAAACTTTTCAATTGAAAAGCAGTCTGCAGATGGTGTCCTTCAGGTCTCCAGGAACTGGTCATAGGTTACGCCCTCCTAACCTTTAAGATGTAAAGCTCTGGAACAAGCTTAATTTAAACAAATGATGGGTACATTGTTGTTGTTGTTTAGTCGTTTAGTCATGTCCGACTCTTCGTGACCACATGGACCAGAGCACGCCAGGCACTTCTGTCTTCCACTGCCTCCCGCAATTTGGTCAAACTCATGCTGATAGCTTCGAGAACACTCTCCAACCATCTCGTCCTCTGCCGTCCCCTTCTCCTTGTGCCCTCCATCTTTCCCAACATCAGGGTATTTTCCAGGGAGTCTTCTCTTCTCATGAGGTGGCCAAAATATTGGAGCCTCAGCTTCAGGATCTGTCCTTCCAGTGAGCACTCAGGGCTGATTTCCTTAAGAATGGAGAGGTTTGATCTTCTTGCAGTCCATGGGACTCTCAAGAGTCTCCTCCAGCACCATAATTCAAAAGCATCAATTCTTTGGCGATCAGCCTTCTTTATGGTCCAGATCTCACTTCCATACATCACTACTGGGAAAATCATAGCTTTTACTATACGGACCTTTGTTGGCAAGGTGATGTCTCTGCTTTTGGATGGGTACATGGTGGTCACCAAATAGTTGGGGGCGGATAATGGGTTCAATGTGGGATGGTGTCATGAGCTAGTGTTGCATTTGTAAACCATGGACCCTTGTGATATCATGAGGCGCGGCCCACACTCCTGTGCCACAAACTCTGAGGGGCCCCCGGTAGGAGGACGGATGGGATTCAGGCAATATCACTCAATCACACCATGCGAGCCAATGCCTGGTGTGCCATCTGCATAGGTTTACTGCATGCGATAGCATAAAGCAATGTCCCACTCATGGAGAAAGGGGGTTTAGTGGCAATCGCACTGCTGCATTTTGTATCGTTCATAGTAAGAATTCACCTTAGATGCTGCCTCACCCAGTTTAATCTACAAATAGTAAGGCAGGGCATTCCGGCTCATTCGAAACCCTAAAAATGCACAGCTCAGTGCTAATAATTTAGGATAAGTCAACAGTTTATAGCCAGTTTCCATAGAGGCCAGCAAATGATACCATTTGCAGGTACCCGTCAATGCTTTTTTACTAGGCAAACAAAGCATGCACAAATGGATCTGTCCATGGTATCTGTTGCTGGCAGCGATGTTGCAAACTAGCCGAATGTTCTTGAACTAAGAAAAGAAATGCAAAGCCAATTCACTGCCTTCCGAAGTCTTGCTTCTGTATATATCATATTCCACCAAGGGACTCAAGATGGCCGACATGATTCTCTGCCCCCCATTTTACCTTCACGAGGGCCTCGTGAGGGTAAACTGAGAACAGCTGGCCGGGCTGCCGGAAGCTACACCTGTTTGTGAAGGGGCCTTGAAGTGTCAGCCTGGATGGTGGTTAGCTGAGTTAAATGGATCAGGAACTCATCGTTGACACAAAGCAAAACCTCAGAGGCCCAGTCCACCTTCTGCTTGATCGAGGATCCTTGGTGCGCATATAGAACATGATGTTATCTAGACGGAGGCTATGGATTTGGCCTTCTGCTTCTAGAAGACTCCTTCCTTACCCTATTCCAGTGGGGAGAGTTGCACAAACCTCAGTACACCTACTCTGAAGGGCCCTCTCATTCTTTTCCCACCCCTTGCAGCAGATTTGGCCAACGCAGTAGGACATTTCGCAGGAATTAATGCTTGGACTCTGTTAGTCCCTTCTCTACCCCCTACCCTGAGTTCCTTAAAAGGGTTTGTATACAGTGGTACCTTAGTTTACAACCATAATCCATTCCGGAGGTCCGTTCATAAACCAAAACAGGTTGTAACCCAAGGCGCACTTTCACCAATGGGCCCTCCCAAAAAATAAAAATATTGTTTGTAATAAAAAAAAATATGGGTTGTAATTCAAAAAAAGTTTGCAAACCGGGACACGCACTTCCGGGTTTGACGTGTTTGTAATCCAAAACGTATGCAAAGCAGACTGTTCGCAAACCAAGGTACCACTGTATTTTAATGCACAGTAAACTGAAAGTACCCACTCTGTTTCCTAATGGCCTTCTCAAAATTATACCATGCACGAGGCAAGTTGCTTTGTCTCCAGATATAATAGGCAATGCTACGCTTGGATTTCAGATCACCAGAGTTTGCGAAAGGGGTGTTTTGTATACTTTTGGAGAGGGCAATCTCGGTTTTCATGACGGATTCCAATGTTGTTGCTTCACAGGGTAAGGAAAAAGTGTTCTGTGTGCGATGAAAAGGAAGAAAGGAGGAGGCTCCGGCAAGAAAACGGAAGTTCCAGCAATGATGTTTAAAGGGAACTGAAGGTAAGTATCGCCTCTCAATATGCTTTCTTCTCCAAAGGTTTTAATTCTCCAAGAAACAAACAGAGAAAAATTCCTTTTTGTAGAACTGAATGGGGATAGCATCGCTTTGGGATAATAGTGCCTTTCAGGAGAAGAGGAACCACACCCCAAATATATTGCAAATCTGGCTATGCATCATATTTGGAAAAGTGCCTGAGCTTGGTGGTACAGCAGCTGCCCAGTATGTCCCCTGAACCAGATGGGCCAATGGCTTTCTATATATCCCTATCATCTGTATCATAACTTCTATGGCGTAGTGACTAAGCACCATCTTGCCGCATCTATATGTTCACTAGGTGGGTTAAAGGAAAACACTGTATCTTAGCCCATTCCCACCCAGACCCTATTAATACCGGCCACCAACCTCACAGGGCAGCTGTTATAAGAATGACAACAAAGTATAGTATGCCAAGAAAATTCTGAAATTCTGTATTTCCGAAATGATCACAGGGGCAGCGTTTTGTCTGTTTTCAAGCTTTGGGCAAGTGCTAAATTGTGTGTGGTGCATTAATTGGCTCTGTAGGTGTGAACCGATGATACTTCCATTTCGAGCCATCCTGTTCCCCCTCTTTGGCTGCCATCCTGTTCACATCTACCGGGGAGTAGCCCACAGTAAACACAGTGGGACTCGCTTCCAAAGCAAAATGTATGAGGTTGCCCTGTTTGGTTTGGGGGAAGTGAGTAGAGACAGACTATTTTCCAGTTCCCCTGTCCGTCATTCCAGAGTTAAATGCAGTGGGTAGCGTTTCCTTGAAAGTATGGACCCTGCAAGAGATCAGAATCGGGCTCTACGGTTGCAGGCATTCTTTAGGAAGCTGTCAGATGCACAGCCGTTATTGTCAGGTCAATATGAAGGCTCTGTCTAATTACGCAATCCATCCAGGAGCTGTCTTCCACTGACTTTAAATAAGTTGGAGTTCTTGTTATTAAATATACCAAGAACTCAGGCCAATGTAAGTTTCAGTAGTGGGAGTGGTCCACTACTGAAAATCTTTGTAACAAATTATTGTGTTATACATATCTTTATGAGTTAGAGTTTGTAATCTCTGTTAGAATTTGTTTTGTTTTTTTTAATAAGATATTTATTAAGGTTTTTTGAAATATTACAGTGAAAATGAAAAAGAAAAAAGAAAAATACAAAATAAAAACAGTTAAAAACACACATATTTTCTATTACTTATTTTCCTTTAGCTTGTTTCCCGGACCTCCTCGTACCTCCCTTTTTTGTATTCCACTTCAATTTATTGGTTCAGCAAATCCTTACCATTAGATTTTAACCCATTTATAACCCTTTTTTCATATTCTCTTAGAACATTACAGCTGGAAACCGCTTAATTACTATCCAACATCATTCTATCATTCATTAATTTTACAATATTTCTGTAAATAGTCTTTAAATTTCTTCCAATCTTCTTCCACTGACTCTTCTCCCTGGTCTCGGATTCTGCCAGTCATTTCTGCCAATTCCATATAGTCCATCACCTTCATCTGCCATTCTTCCAAAGTGGGTAGATCTTGTGTCTTCCATAGAATTTGTAATCTCTATTTGAGTTTGTAATTCTTGTCAGAATACATACTTTTGAATGGATTAGTTTTTGTTATTATGGACTATTGACTTGTGAGTAGGGACCACTCCCACTACTGAAACTTACATTGGCCTGAGTTCTTGGTGTGCTTTTTTCTTGTCTTACATTGGCTGGCATTGGACATAGTCCTCTCTTGACTGGAGATTGATTCTGGGACCTTTTTGCACCCAAAGCATGGGCCCCATCGCTGAACTGCAGCACCCCTCTGAATACCAGTTTCTGGGGCAGGGTGCGGTTGTGCTCATGTCGTATGCAGGCTTCCTTCATGGCCTAGGTCCCTCGTACCTACTGGACCGCCTCTCCCGGTCTGCCCCACGGAGGACCTTAAGGTCCATAAATAGCAACACCCTAGTGGTCCCGGGCCCTAAGGAAGTCAGATTAGCTTCAACCAGAGCCAGGGCCTTTTCAACACTGGCTCCGGCCTGGTGGAACGCTCTGCCTCATGAGACCAGGGCCCTGCAGGATCTGATTTCTTTCCGCAGGGCCTGTAAGAGAGAGTTGTTCCGCCTGGCCTTTGGCTTGGAGCCAATTTGATTCCCTCCCCCTCTTTCTCTTTCTTTTTTCCTTTCTCCTTCTGTGTTGGAACTCCTATTTGGGGACTTCCCTGGCTTTTTTCTGGCCCGTGTAGGACCAGTCTGGATAGTTAGCCTTGGTGAAGACTTGACGTATTTATCCCCCAAAAAGTTTTTGATTGAGTTTCCACCGAAATGAGGCTGCCTTTTAATGTTTTAATGATGTATTTTAATCTTGTTTTTTAAGCTGTATTTCAATTGATTGTTTTTATATTTGGGGTTAGCCGCCCTGAGCCCGGTCTTGGCTGGGGAGGGCGGGGTATAAATAAAAATTATTATTATTATTATTATTATTATTATTATTATTATTTAGTCCAACACTGTGAGAACAGGGTGCTGAACTAAATGGGCCGTTAGCCTGATTCAGCAGCCTCTTCTTATGTCCCCATGGCCCACTAAATCCTGCTTTTTAACTCTTTGGAAACACTTCTGGTAGCTCCCAGCTTGGCACGATGATGTTCCCTGTTGAAGCTGTTACCCAATTCTTGCCTCTTCTAGGAGATGCAGCTGGAAAGGCTGTCGCTGAAGCACACGCCCTTCCGTGGAGGCACGTCGGAGAAGGTCAAACTCAGAACCTCAGAGGAGCACGTTGAGAGCCTGAGACCTTGTCTGCCCAACATGGAAGATGCCGCAAGGAGGGGTTTTGCACGCCCTTGGCCTCTCTGCAGCTGCCAGAGGATGTAAAACATGCCGCCACACTTGCAGGAGTCAACATCTGTCATTTCCACAGCTGCTGGAGAGCTGCCCCACCCTGCTTAGTACCGGAAGACGACCCAAAGACCATGTGTGTGTTAATCTGTCACCAGAGAACTATCGGCAGGTAGTTTACAGAGACGTCTGTGTGCAAGGGGGAGAATTTAGGGAGGTGTTCATGCCTGCATAAAGAGATGGGTTTCTTCTTCTTCTTCTTTGTGTTGTTACTGACTTCCACACACACACCCCTCGAGGTGAAAGGAGGGGAAACAGAGCAAGCTTTGAAATAAGTCTCACGTTGCTTAAAGAGCTCTGTGACTCCCAGCCTGGGATAAACTGCACAGGGTGTGCCTCTCTTCTCCTCCACCTCCACCTGTTGTCATCTTGAGGGCTCCTGCTTGCTGCCTGAAAAGGTGGCAGACCAGAAATGTCACTGCTGTCTGCTTTCTGTTCTGGAAGTCTTGCCGTGAAGGTGCACGAGCTGTTTCCAAGTTTGCTGCTGCTTTGGTTCTTTCTTTCTTTCTTTCTTTCTTTCTTTCTTTCTTTCTTTCTTTCTTTGATAAATGCACGTTTTTAAAGACCGACATCTCACGGCAAAACTCTCACCTAAGAGTTGCTTGTTGCTGCTGTCTCGGGGTTTGTTAATCCCAGCAGTGGCATAACATGGGCGGGGCAACAGGGGCACAAAATTCTTAGGGGCACAAAATTTCAGAAGGGGAAAAAAATGAAATAGTCATCGTAAATAAAAAATAGGGTGCCCTCCCCCTCACACAGAAAATCTCCCAATGTTTGTGTGGGCAGACTGGAGAGTGGATTTGGGCGATGGCCAATCGCTAGGGTGCCCTCTGCACGGGCTTTAGAAAGAGACCCATTCCTAACCAATCCCCTGTTCCACCCTCTGCCATGCTCGACACTCACAAGGCACCACTGTTGCCACTTGGATAAGTTGCCGAACTATTGCCCCTTCATTCCAGCCTATTGGTGGGCGGTGCTGAGGATACTTGCTTTGCCCCGGGCTCTGGCAACGCATGCTATGCCACTAAATCCCAGTCAGCTGTAGTGTGCCTAAACTAGAGTATCGTTGAGCTGTCCCTTTAGCGTTCAGAAGCCCAGGGCTGCTGTTTTCGCAACCTGTGCTGTGTAACAATCGAGACGGCTGAGATGTGGAAATAACACTGAAGGCCACCTACTGAAGTTCTCCTCAAAGGACAGATTGTTCTGGATTTAAGTAGGTTGGGAAGTGAATTCTAAATCAGCAGTCTGGTGGTTCCCGTAATCCTTAGAGAGCTTGCCATGAGAGAGGTCATAAAATGAGTCTGTTTTGCCAGTCCTGTTGTCTGGCTGCTTCTCCCTTGAAGCCTTGATCAGGTCTGGGGGTTCTGTGGCTCTCCCAATGTTTCTGGAGCTCTTCATCAGCTCTACCCAACTTGGCCCAAGGTCAGGAATGATGCAAGTTATATTCCATCAACATCTGGAGGAAAACAGGTTCCCCACCTAGATCCTTCTCCCACCTCAAGTAAAGAATAAATACTTGTGCCAATGTAGTAACAGCGGCCCCTTCTCAGTATCCTTTGGAATACGGGGGCAAATGCATGCTAGAATATGCCATTTATGGCAAAGGTGAATGATGAGCAATCATATAAGACAACTTACAATATTTTGCAACAATTGTGGGGGAATTGGATTGCTTTGGCACGCAGACTTATCAACGCTCACCACCTTCAGTGGAGTTCTTTGTTTTGTTTTTCGAAATGTAAATCTTCCTGCACTGAACAGTGGCATGGCATATCTTAAGCAGTCTAATTGTGTGTAATTGTGTGTAAACTTGCAACCACATGCTATTACTTTATGCTTCCTGTAAAGTTATGCAGGACTTCCTGCAAAGCTGCATCTTAAGTAACTCAAGCTACAGTCCTATATATTATTTCCTGTAAGCCCCACTGAACATTCTGGGATTTGCTTCTGCAAGGGACTGTACCCTTAAGTTACACTGGGTTGTGTGTATAAGATTGTTGTGACCGAAAAGGAGAACTTGAGCGACACAGTTTGATTTTACATTAGTGTAAATATGTATACGTGCAGAAGGTTTTTTAAAATATTGTAAATAATGTGTTCCTGTATTTAATATGTTCACACAACTTGACATGACCTATTTATTTTATTAAACTTTTTTACATAAATGGAAAATAAGCGAGTTGAGTCATAACAAATTTGCATACTACTTGGCACTAGATTCTGAATGATTACGATTGCCTAAATTACTGGCTGGCACAATAACAATCAGGTTATTATAATGCTCTACAAATCTTCATTGGTTTCATATCAGTTCATTTCTTCATGGCTTTTCCCAGAGAATTTTAGAGACTCTGATTTGGTGAGAGTGCTAGATGCCTAAAGGGAAAGAGACCCCTGACCGCAGACGACTCTGGGGTTGCGGCGCTCATCTCGCTTTACTGGCCGAGGTAGCCGGCGTACAGCTTCCGGGTCATGTGGTCAGCATGACTAAGCCACTTCTGGCGAACCAGAGCAATGCATGGGAACGCCGTTTACCTTCCTGCCGGAGCGGTATCTATTTATCTAATTGCACTTTTATGTGCTTTCGAACCGCTAGGTGGGCAGGAGCAGGGACCGAGCAACGGGAGCTCACCCCGTCGCAGGGATTCGAACCTCCAACCTTCTGATCGGCAAGCCCTAGGCTCTGTGGTTTAGACCACGGTGCCACCTGCGCCCCATGTTAGATGCCTACTACTCCTTCTTTTTCCTTGCCTTCCCCACACCTTCCATTTAAAGCACATAACTTCCTCCAAAAATCCTGAGAACTGTAGTTTAAGGGTGCTGGGAATTGTAACTATGTGTAGTACCCACAGTTCCCAAGGTTCTTGGGGAGGTGGGGAGCCATGCCTCTTAAAGTGTTATAAATGTGGTATGAATGTATGGTGTAGATTTCAGAGTCAATAAACCAGATTGTAGTGTACAGATATGCCCTTAATTCAGTGTGTCTGAGGAAGCGTGGAAGCCCTGGCCTGGGAGCCACAGAGAGACTTCCCACCTTGTTCAGGCTTTAGCAAACCCTAAAGCTATCGGGGCACGGGTGGCGCTGTGGTCTAAACCACTGAGCCTTGGGCTTGCTGATCAAAAGGTTGGCAGTTCGAATCCCCGTGACGGGGTGAGCTCCCGTTGCTCAGTCCCTGCTCCTGCGAACCTAGCAATTCAAAAGCATGCCAAAAAGTGCAAGTAGATTAATAGGTACCACTCCGGCAGGAAGGTAAACGGCATTTTCGTGCGCTGCTCTGGTGTCGGTGTTCCGTTGCGCCAGAAGGGGCTCCCAGAGTCATTTGTGACTGGACTTAACTCTCAGGGGTCCCTTTAAAGGTAAAGGTAAAGGGACCCCTGACCATTAGGTCCAGTCATGACCGACTCTGGGGTTGCGGCGCTCATCTCGCTTTATTGGCCGAGGGAGCCAGTGTTTGTCCACAGACAGCTTCCAGGTCGTGTGGCCAGCATGACTAAGCTGCTTCTGGCGAACCAGGGCAGCACACGGAAACGCCGTTTACCTTCCCGCCGGAGCGGTACCTATTTATCTACTTGCACTTTGATGTGCTTTCGAACTGCTAGGTTGGCAGGAGCAGGGACCGAGCAACGGGAGCTCACCCGTCACGGGGATTCGAACTGCCGACCTTCTGATTGGCAAGTCCTAGGCTCTGTGGTTTAACCCACAGCGCCACCCGTGTCCCCAGGGGTCCCTTTACCTTTTACTAAAGCTATTGAACAGACGCAAGCAAATCACCACAACCTTTCCGCTTCCTTAAAGATCCCACCGGTTTGCCAATTTCTGTTCAATTTGATTGCCTCTCCTGATCACCAGGCTGAATCCACTCCGGAGGAGGAGGAGCTGTAGGTTCGCAAATCATGTAAAGATGCCTCAAAGCAGAATTCACCCGAGAGGTTCTGATTTGCAAGCCCCAGAGGAAATGAGTGGGGTGTCTGCAGAAGCACTGTTGGCGCCCTTGCAAAGCTCAGGTTCATTTTGTGCAAGAGAGAGAACGTCCACTATAAACTCAAGAACATGACTGGCAGCCAGTCCGCCGTTGCGAAGCAATTTAGGGAGGAGGAATCGCACCTAACCCATCTCTCGATTTTGAGTTTTATCGTTGCGGAGCGAAACTTCCCCAGAGCCATTATTCTGACACTGCTTCTAGTCCCGCCCTGCATCTCATGAGAATGACACTGTACAATGGTACACCAGCCCTCCCTCTCTTGAAAGAGCAAGTAGAACAGGAAAAGCAGAATGTGGGCTGCCTATTATAGTGTGTCAACAGGGTTGTCTCAAGGAAGCCACAAATAGCATCTAGAATTAATGGTTGTCATCCTTCTGCCTGTTTTGGTCATACTGGCTTGAGGTCGTCTCCTGTTTATCGAGGGTGGTAGCCTTCGTGGGGAAGTCGACCTTTTAAGGTTGCTGCTCTCCATGACACTCAGTTATTCTAATAGAATGGATTCATACTTGTGGATTGTGGCCTGAATTCTTCATGGCGACCCTCTGAAGATGTGTGTTTGCTTTTTCTTAAATTCATCATTGGTTGCATCTTCCAAACTGGTCAGTTGACCCACAGTGGATTGCCCCAAAGTTCCCACTGCCATTTTCTTTCTAAAGCATCAAAGGGGATGTGTGGTCTTCAAGATGTTGCTGGACTACAACTCCCAACATCCCCAACTGTTAGCTATTTCTGCTGAGGCTGATGGGAGTTGTAGTCTGGCAACATCTCAAAGGCCACAGGGGTAGAAGCAGCGAGTCACTGGCCAGTGTCCAATAAAGCACACAGCTCCTGATGGATCTTGGTCTGAGCCAGCAATGCAGTTTTGATAACCAGGTAGACATAACCTTTCAAGATCAATTACAGCAACTGCTTCTCCCATGGTATAAGCCCACCTGCTCTCACCTCTCGCTTGACAGATGCACTCTGCAATATACCGTATTTTTTGCTCTATAAGACTCACTTTTTCCCTCCTAAAAAGTAAGGGGAAATGTGTGTGCGTCTTAGGGAGCGAATGCAGGCTGTGCAGCTACCCCAGAAGCCAGAACAGCAAGAGGGATTGCTGCTTTCACTGCGCAGCGATCCCTCTTGCTGTTCTGGCTTCTGAGATTCAGAATTTTTTTTTCTTGTTTTCCTCCTCCAAAAACTAGGTGCGTCTTGTGATCTGGTGTGTCTTATAGAGCAAAAAATACAGTACATTTTGCTGTATAGCCAACACAAGATCAGCCATCATTCTTCCACCTCTCCAGCCTGTTTGCCTGGTGGTTTGGTTTTTATGACACATATATTCCCCTTCACCTTATTTTCTTAAAAAGGTTTTAAAAAATATCAAAACTCCCCTAGGAAGGGGGCGGGAAGAAGGTTGTTGGTGATGCTTTTAGGCGCTAGCCAGTCATCATTCAGCCTCCAAGGCTGCCTTTCTGCTGGTCGAAACTAAACCACATTGCAAACTTGCAGAACCAGGGGTGTGTGTTGTTGTTGCTGTTTCCCAGAGCTCATCCTAGGGAAGAAAATGGGTTGTTTGCATTGACCTTTATTGCAGGGTGAGGGGGGCGGTGTGTTTGCCTCCTAAACCAACTCCACTGCTGAACTACAATTCTGTGTGGTGTGCATTTTACTATTCAGCTTGCCCCTAAATGACAGTTTTCTGTAAGGGGAGAAATGGTAGCATTCCACATTAATGACAGTCTACAGGCAAGAGCCATAGAGAAATATTGACCAGGGTACAAGCATAAAGTCAGATCGCTAGGGCTCTTGTAACACGGCATACAGAACTACATTTAAAGCACCTTATTTTCTCCCCCCACGCCCCCCCCAATATACTGGGCATTGTGATTTAAGCCTCACAGAACTACACTTCCCAGGATTCCTCATGGGGGGGTGCTTTAAATGTACAGTGTGTACGCAGCATAAAAAAGAAAAAAAGCAGTACAGTGGTACCTCGGGTTCCATACGCTTCAGGTTCCATACGCTTCAGGTTACAGACTCCGCTAACCCAGTAATAGTACCTCGGGTTAAGAACTTTGCTTCAGGATGAGAACAGAAATTGTGCTCCGGCGATGTGGCAGCAACAGGAGGCCCCATTAGCTAAAGTGGTGCTTCAGGTTAAGAACAGTTTCAGGTTAAGAACGGACCTCCAGAATGAATTAAGTAATTAACCCGAGGTACCACTGTACTAAGGGACACGGGTGGTGCTGTGGGTTAACCCACAGAGCCTAGGACTTGCTGATCAGAAGGTCAGCTGTTCAAATCCCCACGACGGGGTGAGCTCCCGTTGCTCGGTCCCTGCTCCTGCCCGCCTAACAGTTCGAAAGCACCTCAAAGTGCAAGTAGATAAATGGGAACTGCTCCGGCGGGAAGGTAAACGGCGTTTCCGTGCGCTGCTCTGGTTTGCCAGAAGCGACTTCGTCATGTTGGCCACATGACCCGGAAGCTGTACGCCGGCTCCCTCGGCCACTAAAGCGAGATGAGCGCCACAACCCCAGAGTCGGCCACGACTGGACCTAATGGTCAGGGGTCCCTTTACCTTTACCTTTACCTTTACCTTTACCACTGTACTGTCTCACGTGTTGTGAGGTAAAATGGGGACAGGAATGTATGCCAACTTGAATTCCTTGAAGGTAAAAAAGGTGGGATATAAATTCGATAAAGAATACTGCGGTGGGATTTTTCAGCAATGTAAAAATTAGCGGCTTGAAATGCAGCGAGGTTACATACCCCTACACAAACGCAGCGTTTCAAGTCCCTTTCTTACACACACCAGAGAGAGGGCAGGGATGTCTTCACCCGATGCCCACGACCTGATTTGTTTCCCTGCGCCCAACTCCAATGCACCAAAACTCTGCGGCACCTTTCTTCAAATATACACCCAGCTGACCCGCGGCTTCCGGTTTTCTAATTGGATAGAAACCAGTTTGAGGGAAAGTCCATCAAGCTGAGGCATTTCTCAAGAAACCAAGGAAACAGGTGGATTGTGGCTAATGCCATGTTGCTTCAAACACCATCCGTGGGAGCGCACGGCCTTTGAGGTAAACGTTAATGTGCACACAGCCTTATTTTGTGTTTTTGAACAGTCGCACCCCAAATTGCTTTTGTAATTAATGTGCCTTGGGGTGGGGGGAGGTGAATCTTAATACACACAC